CTAAAGTTTTTGAATATTCCCGACTCTTTGATCGGACGCTAAAAATCGCATTTTAAATACTCCCCTTCGGGCTCGCGTATAACTCCGGCCCTTCGGGCTCGCATATAACTCCGGCCCTTCGGGCTCGCATATGACTCCGGCCCTTCGGGCCGGTATTACTGAGTATCCCAGATTCACAGATATTTGTCGTGGAGGCGCGGGATTGATTAAAATAATATTGTCAGACTTTTCTAAATTACATTGAAATATCGAAAATTGGAAAGTGTAATTTGTTAATTATTATTTTAATTAGAAATCAGGAATAAAAAATTGAGATTGAATTTTCAACTTTTTGGGGGAGGTTTAACCTCCTCTGACGAGCCGCCACTGCTTCGAGGCATTCCATGGAATTTCTTATGTATTTTTGGAATTATTTTGAATGCTAGCAAGCAAAGACTCTGAACAAAAAAGTCCTATTTTTCAGTTTAGCCGCCACTACATACGTGCAAAGTGAAAACATAGACTTATCAAGCAAACTAAGGAATCCCATTGGAATCCCACAGGAAATCCACGAAATCCCACAGAATTCCACTGGAATCACACATGCTTGTACACTATAATTCCAAGATGGTTTCCCATTTTTAACGGAATCCCATGAAAAACTACTGAAATCCCTCGATATCCTACTAGAATCTTACTGAAATCCGACGCAATACTACTGAAATCCCACGGTATTAAACACATCAACTCATCAGGCAAAGTGAGGAATCTCATTGGAATCCCACTGGAACCACACGGAATCCCAGAAAATCGGGATTCAAGATTTCTTCAATTTCTTTTCCAGATTAGTCATTTTTGTAGAATCGATTTTTGACTATTTCAGGCACTTCAATGTTTTTTATTTTTCAAAAAAAAAAAACATTGGAGAAATCAGAAATTTTCCTTATTCTCTCATTTTCGAGGGTAAAATGACCTGGGAAGAATTTACCATCACCTAAAAAAGTACTGGCAAAGTGAGGACCGTCCGAGAAAGTACCTACTGAAGAAATCCAGAAAAGTTAGAGAAACTTCGAAGGAAGTTCGAGAAAGTACGGAAATTATTATTATTTGAAAAATTTGGGAAATAACAATCACTCCCTAAAAAAGTGTACCTATAGAGGAAATGAGAGAAGACTTTGAAAATTGAGAAAGAAATTCAAGAAATCTTTTGCAATCTCTTGAATTTCTTCTCTTTATTTCTCATTTCTTTAGTATCGATTTTTGACTATTCCAGGCTCTTGAATCCCTGTTTTTTTCTAAATTTATTTTTATAAAAAAGTAAGAAATATTCAAGAACCTGGAATAGTAAAAAAGTGACACTGAAGAAATAAAAAATATAGACAAGAAATTCCAGTCTCTTAAATGTTTCTTGTTTTCATATAAAAATAAATTTTGAAGAAATCAGAAATTCAAGAACCTGGAAAAATCGATTATCATCATAGAAATAAGGAGAAAAAATAAAAAAAATCTTTTGCAATTTCTTGAATTTTCTTTATTTTCTCGTTCTCAAGGGAGAATCCGCCTGGGAATAATTCACCATCACCTAAAAAAGCGCTAGGAAAGTAAAAAAAGTCCGAAGAAGTACTGAAGAAGTTCAGAAAAGTTAGAGAGATTTCAAACTCCGGGAAAGCATCAAAAATATTTACCCATAAGGATGATTCTTTGCAAAATTTAGGGAATACCAACTACATTTTACCTAAGAAAGTGTATAGAGGAAATGAGAAAAGCCTGAGAGATCTGAGAAAAATTCAAGAGATTACAAAAAATTTCCTAAATATCTTCTTATTTCTCATTTCTCTAGAATCGATTTTTGACTATTCCAGGCTCTTGAATTGCTGTTTTTTTCTAAATTTATTTTTCTAAAAAAGTAAGGAACATTTAGGAGCCTGGAATAGACAAAGATTGACACTGAAGAAACAAAAAATAGAGACAAGAAATTCCAGACTCTTGAATGTTTCTTACTTTCTTATAAAAAAAAACTTTGAAAAAATCATGAAAATAGTCAAAAATTGATTATAAAGAAATTATAAATAAGGAAAAAATAAATACCATAAATACAGGGTGTCCGAAAAATAGCGTAAAAGCTCTCCACGTAGTAGGGGACCCTTTGAGAAACCCTAGAAAAATAATTGAAAAAATCCTTCTCCAGCATTATTCTTGGTAATATGAAGAGGTAAATGTGAAAATTCTACAGATTATTAAATAGGTATTTAATTTAATTATCTGACATGTTGTCAACGGGATATTTTCGGTGTTGCAAATTTCAATAAATATTAAAATGCAAATAACTTTCTTAAGAATGCCACAAGATTTTTTAAATTATTTTTCTGGGGTTCCTTAAAGGGTCCTTCATCACGTAATAAAGAGTTTTTACGCTATTTTCCGGACACCCTGTATAACTCTAGACTACTCGAGACGAAACCAGACTTTGACTCTCGAGATTTCGAGACGAAACGAGACCAACCTTAAGTCTCGTCTCGCGGCACCACTATCTACAACCAAATTGAAATCTTAATAAATAGGTTTGTAGAGAATTTAATTGGATTTAATTGGAGCCTAATTACATTGAAATTTGATGAAAATTAACGGAGCTGTAAGGCAAAAACTGTCTCTGTGTCATCTTTGAAGAATTTTCAATGTTCGATAAATTCAATGTTGAAGCTTCTCAGGTGCAAAACTATTGAAACCAATATACACTTTTGTTTAGCTACATAAGTAAAACAAAAACCCAAAAAATATTACAATAACCCCCACAAAAACCAAATAGAAAATTTCAAAAACTTGGGATTTTCCCAACCCTGATGCAAGTTATAGTTATAAATATTGTATATATGTATTGGAGAATAAATCTGAAGTACATACTTCGCCACAACCAGAGATAACTTGAAGTAGGAAGTAGGAAGGAAGTTTGGTGTACACAAGTTCGCAAATGTCCTCGATTTCAAATAAGACATTGTAAAAAGTGCCTCAAAATAAATGCAACAATCATTCACGATATAGGGGAACATTCTAGAACAATTATCAGTCTAGCAAAAATTACAGTCGATAATTGTTGGATTGAAGAAGCTTCAAAAACATAAAATTCGGTACAAGAACAGCATTAGTTTGATGTTGGAACACAATGCCGTTTGGATCAAAGAACGCACCTGCGACATTCCAAATAGTAATTAATGTACATTAGATCCAGAGAAATCTAGAATTCCGGCGTTTGATTCGCTGGATAATTTTCTAGAAAGACTCAAGAGTCGGTGATAGGTCAAATTTTGATTATTATCAAGAGCATGAGAAGTTTCTGGAAAAGGCTTCAAGAAGCCGTCTGAAATTTAAGGAAACTAGAACCGTAGTAGGTATATAATCGTTGTATAATGAACATTCAAAAGCCTGGAATAAAAAAATTATGAGTAGGCATTCAAGAACTTTTGCTTATTTTTCCATTTAATTTCTCATGTTTTTCTCTAAACTTTCCTCTAGATAAAAACCGGAGGTTAACTAGGAATAGATAGGAATTTTCAAGAAAAAAAAAATCAAGTTTTCTTGGCCATTGAAGTAAGACACCATAAATTCAACGATAATTGTCTATTCCAAAAACTAAAAGATGAAGCCTATTATATGTCGATTACTTGAAATTAATCATTATATTTTTATGACTAATGTAAGATAGTGACTCTTCCAAGTAAAAATGAAAAACGTTACTCATTCTGCCAATAATTACCTACTTGACTTAAATCATTAGCAAATATTTCTGCGCATTACTGAAAATTACTCTACTTAGCAACTATATAAGATTCTTCAAAGCAATTTTTTCAGACCTTCTATACAGTGCAAGTTCCAACTGCGTAATTTCATCATCAAACATCTGCACTTTAGCTTAAGGCTGCGTCTGCCCTTGGGCGCAACATACAAATTGCACAGCAAAAAGATTTACTTTGAAGAATGCATACGAATGTTTGCACTTTTTCCTTTGTTCAGCAAAATGAACAATCAAGATCCAGGTACATATATTTTTCTCAATTGCATCTTAATTATTTGAATCTGGATTACTTAAATCAATCCAGTGATATTAGGTTTCTCTTAAAACTTGTTCATTAAAATAGAAAATCGGTTTTATTGTTATTAGACTTTCCATCCTCACTTATAAATTAATTTTCAAGTTAATGCCTTTTTAATTGTTTGTTTTATTAACAAGGGAAAGTAAAGTGTCTTTATACCTATTACATCCACATCTAATAATATCGATCAAATTTAACTAATCAAAAAGTGTAAGTATCCGTTGAATGTATATCTTTGTGTTTTAATTTTTTTTGTATACGTATGCTCCTTATCTTTGTGCATAAATATATGTAGGTATCAATGAGTATTTATAATTACATACGCAGAAACATAGAATATTGAAGTCACCAGTTATTTACAAATTTTAACAATGTGCTTTTTATAAGTAGGTAAGATGATAAGGTACCCTGGGGACCTTGTGATACCTACCTAAAACAAATTTCTGGCAAAAATGTATTGTTATTTTCTTATTTCATGGTAGAAATCTGTAGGTACATTATTGGAGGTACTCGTTAACTACTGCACAAATTTTTCAATAAACAAAATCAATTACTGACAAATCAATCATCAAATTCATTCAATTATTTATTGTTATTCTAGACACGTAGATGTTATCTCGGTGTCCTCAATTTCACTTTTTAACAAAAGATCGATTTCGATCAATAACAATGGCAGAAAAGTGAATTTCAATTGAACCTTGGCTTCAATAGAAAGAAAATTCATAAATCTGCGGCCAATTATCAAAACCGCCAACAAAAACAAATACAAATTTCGTCTGGAGCTGCTCTTGTTTATGTAAAATTATTGTTCAATTGAAATTTTGTTTGTCTCATCACGAGGAGTGGAATTTTGCTGCGATATACTTCCTCGGTTTGTTTGGCATTACGTCAACCTTTGATTAAAACGAATAATAACTTTATTGTTCTGTAGACATGATTAGTGTGCTAACTAAACGAGATCATAACATAACGCGAGTAATTTTTGTAAGTTCTTTTTATACAATAGTGCAATTTATTTGGAATTTACAATTAATACTAGGTAGGTCATCATTCATCAAATAAATAAATCACTGTACCATACCCAACAAACCTACTCTATAAACTTGATCTAGTTTCGAATATCCTACTTATTTTACATAAACGTTTTTGATCAGGCTAATTATTACAGAAAATCTTTAGCTACTTATTTCAAGTACTCATACCATTTGGTAGATGATGATATTTGTATGGTATTCAAACACAGTGCAATTACCTATACTAAATGGCAAAGCAGATGTGATGTATTAGATTTCATTCTACGTCAATGGCCTTTTTGATAATGAAGAACTTTTACACTAAAAATGGTTTTTAATTGAATTTTGACTGACTCATATATTTTACGACAGAATCATTGATAATACTTATCGATAATTAAATACTAAGTACATAATAAGTGGACAGGGGAAATATCTTGCAAGGTTTTAAATAGTGATCTCTTTGTTATAGAATTCAAAATGCTTCAACAAATCCTAAGAGACATGTACGTGGATCCGGAAATCCTGGCCGAATTGGACGAGCAACAAAAACAAACTCTATTTTGTAAGATGAGAGAAGAACAAGTGCGTAGATGGAAATCATGGAATGACAAAGTGGTGGATGAGCAACCGAAAACGAGAACGAAGAAGAAAAAAAGTGTCAGTTTTTTGAAAGGTAATTTGCTATTGTGTATTTATTGTCATGTGCTCATCAGTTGCTTCCAAAATAACAAAGAACGAGTCTTAAGTATCTTGAGTTTTGACATTTCAGAAACATTTTTGTGGATTGATTCATGATTCTTTGCAGTTTTCAGTTGTAATATGTATTTGCGTCTTGAACTCATAAATCCTTAGGGTTAAATCTTTAAAGTAAATTTGTTGCCTTCAGAATAATGATCATAGAAGGTCTAGTATATAAGTTTTCAGGGTTTTAAGTCTCAACTTTCTAGGTTTTAAGATTGAACCATGATTCTGCATCAGTGTTATATATGTACCTCTTAAGTGATAAGCCCGTTAGTTGTTGGTTGCTTTCAAATACTTAAGTTAGAATCCTTAATATTTGAATCTTCAGAATTTAGAGTTTCCAGTATTGATAGTTTCCAATGGTAAGTCTTGAAACATGAGCCTTTGTAGAGTCTTTCTTGGTATCAGAATTTTGACTTAAATTCTTTGATATTCGAGTCTTTAGAATTTTGAGTCTTCTCAGAGTTTTTTTAATTGATTCATGATTCTATAGTCTTTCTTCAGTGTTAACTTCTGGATCATGAGCTCATAATGGAATCTTTGTTGTTACCAGAGTGTTGGTTAGGATTGAGTCTTCAATATTCACAGGTTCCAGTTTTGAGTAATAATTCTTCAGTGTTGTCTTTTGTCTTGAGTCATGTGCTTAAATAATTCTTCAGAGTAGCTTTGAGAATCTTGACTTAAGAATTTATAGTATTCAAGTTTCCAGGATTTTAAGCCTTGACTTTTTAGAATTTTCAGGATTGAATGATGATTTTTTAAAAGTTTTCGGTGTTGATTTCTGAATCAAAATCTCATAAGTCTTTGAAGTCTTGGTTGCTTACAGAATCTGGACTGTAGAAACCCAAGTATGCCAGTACTTGGAACTTCAACTCTTCGAGTTACCAGGATTGAGTCATGATTCTCTGGAATCTTTGGACTCATTAGCTCATAGTATATCTTTAGTCTCTGTTGTTTCCAGAATCTCCTGGACTATGGAGTCTAACCCAAGTATGCCAGTACTTAGAACTTTGACTCTTCGAGTTACTATGATTGAGTCATGATTCTCTGCAATCTTTAGACTCATCAGCTCATAGTATGTCTTTAGTCTCTGTTGTTTTCAGAATCTCCTGGTTTTAGAATCCATAGAGTCTAACCCAAGTATGCCAGTACTTAGAACTTTGACTCTTCGAGTTACTAGGATTGAGTCATGATTCTCTGGAATCTTTAGACTCATCAGCTCATAGTATGTCTTTAGTCTCTGTTGTTTTCAGAATCTTCTGGTTTTAGAATCCATAGAGTCTAACCCAAGTATGCCAGTACTTAGAACTTTGACTCTTCGAGTTACTAGGATTGAGTCATGATTCTCTGGAATCTTTAGACTCATCAGCTCATAGTATGTCTTTGGTCTCTGTTGTTTTCAGAATCTCCTGGTTTTAGAATCCATAGAGTCTAACCCAAGTATGCCCGTACTTAGAACTTTGACTCTTCGAGTTACTAGGATTGAGTCATGATTCTCTGGAATCTTTACACTCATCAGCTCATAGTATGTCTTTAGTCTCTGTTGTTTTCAGAATCTCCTGGTTTTAGAATCCATAGAGTCTAACCCAAGATTGCCAGTACTTAGAACTTTGACTCTTTTAGTTACCTGGATTGAGTCATGATTCTCTGAAATCTTTAGACTCATCAGCTCATAGTATGTCTTTAGTCTCTGTTGTTTTCAGAATCTCCTGGTTTTAGAATCCATAGAGTCTAACCCAAGATTGCCAGTACTTAGAACTTTGACTCTTTTAGTTACCTGGATTGAGTCATGATTCTCTGAAATCTTTAGACTCATCAGCTCATAGTATGTCTTTAGTCTCTGTTGTTTTCAGAATCTCCTGGTTTTAGAATCCATAGAGTCTAATCCAAGAATGCCAGTACTTAGAACTTTGACTCTTTGAGTTACCTGGATTGAGTCATGATTCTCTAGAATCTTTGGACTCATCAGCTCATAGTATGTCTTTAGTCTCTGTTGTTTCCAGAATCTCCTGGACTATGGAGTTTAACCCAAGTATGCCAGTACTTAGAACTTTGACTGTTCGAGTTACTAGAATTGAGTCATGATTCTCTGGAATCTTTAGACTCATCAGCTCATAGTATGTCTTTAGTCTCTGTTGTTTTCAGAATCTCCTGGTTTTAGAATCCATAGAGTCTAACCCAAGTATGCCAGTACTTAGAACTTTGACTCTTCGAGTTACTAGGATTGAGTCATGATTCTCTAGAATCTGTAGACTCTTCAGCTCATAGTATGTCTTTAGTCTCTGTTGTTTCCAGAATCTCCTGGACTATGAAGTCTAACCCAAGGATACCAGTACTTAGAACTTTGACTCTTCGAGTTACTAGGATTGAGTCCTGATTCTCTGGAATCGTAAGACTCATCAGCTCATAGTATTTCTTTAGACTCTGTTATTTCCAGAATCTAAAAGACTGTGGAGTCTCTAATGATAAGTCCTCAGAATTTTGTTTCTTGACTTTTCACAAGTTTTAGGATTGCTCACTTAAGTCTCAAGAGATCCTTTCTGCATTGAGAATCTTGACTGTAGAGTATTCTCGTCAAGATTTTGGGTTTTGACTTTCTTCCAGGATGAATTCATGATTTTTTAGAGTTTTCAGTGTTTTACAGTTCTTAAGTTTTTAGATACTTTGTTGCTCTCAGAAATAATCCATAGCTATGAGTCTTCACTTTCCTAATGTTCTCAGGTTTGAGTCATGAATGATATTTTGTTTGGAAATTTGAGTCCGGAATCCCTAGTATTACGTTTCCAAGATTTTCATTCTTGAGAGAATCAGTTTTACTCATAATAATGATTATAGAAGCTTTGGAAAGCTGTGCTTTGGGTCTCACCTTTCGAGGTTTCAAGATTGAGCCATGATTCTGTCTTCAGTGATATGCCATTGGGTTGTTAGTTGTTGGTTGCTTCCATAAATTCAAATGTAGAATCCTTAGTATTATTTGAGTCTTCACAATTTCAGAGTTGTCAGTACTGGAACATGAGCCTTTCCAGAGTTGCTTTCAGAATATGGACTTATTAGAATCTTTGATGTCCGAGTCTTCAGGATTTCAAGTCTACTCAGAGTTTTCCAGATTCTTCAGTCTTCAATGTTAACTTATGTAGATATCATGAGCCCATGATCGAATCTTTGTTGTTTCCAGAATGTTGACAGGTAGAGTCCTTTATCAGTATTCACAGGTTCAACTTTCGAGTAATAATTCTTCAGAATCTTTAAAATAAGTATTCAGAGCCTTAGATCGTTTTCAGAATCTTGACTTACCTATAATTTATAGCATTCGGGTTTCTAGGATTTCAAGTCTTGATTTTCCAAAATTCTCGGGATGAAATGATGATTCTTTATAGTTTTCAATGTTAATTTCATGTTTCCATAAGTCTTTCCTGCTCTCAGAATCTTTACTGTAGAATCCGAGAGTCTTGAATTTCTGTATTGAGTCACGATTCCTTAGGATCTTCTTTGAGTCTTGATTCTCTGGAATCTTTAGACTCATCAGCTCATAGTATGTCTTTAGTCTCTGTTGTTTCCAGAATCTAAAGGACTGTGGAGACTCTAATGATAAGTCCTCAGAATTTTGTTTCTTGACTTTTCACAGGTTTTAGAATTGCTCACTTAAGTCTCAAGAGATCCTTTCTGTATTGAGAATCTTGACTGTAGAGTATTCTCGTCAGGATTTTGGGTTTTGACTTTCTTCCAGGACGAATTCATGTTTCTTTAGAGTTTTCAGTGTTTTAGAGTTTTTTAGTTCTTAGAGACTTTGTTGAATTCAGATTAGAACTAATTATTTGAGTCCGGAATCCCTAGTATTGCGTTTCCAAGATCTTGATTCTTGAGAGAATCAGCTTTACTTAATCATATGATTATAGAAGCTCTGGTATTTGAGTTTTCAGGGTTTTGGGTCTCAACTTTCGAGATTTCAGAATTGAGCAATGATTTTTTCTCCACTGTTATACACCTTAGTATCTGAGTATTCATAATTTCAGATTTTCTTTCTTCTCAGAGAATCTTTGTTGTTTCCAGAATGTTGACAGTAGAGTCATTAGGATTGAGTCTTCAGTATCCACAAGTTCCACTTTTGAGTAGCATTCGAGTTTCCAGGATGTCAAATCTTGACTTTTCAGAATTCTCGAGATTGAATGATGATTCTTTACCTGTCTTCAGTGTTACTTTCTGAGTCATGATCCCACTTCTTGCTTTCAGAATCTTGATTGTAGAATCGTTGATAGGTATCTATTTTTGACTGTTCAATGTTTCGAGTGCATATCGAATCATGGTTCTTTGAGATCTTGACTCTACAATTTAGTATTCTCGTCAAGATTTTGGGTTTTAACTAGCTAAAACTTTCATCAGGATTAATAGTTCATGATTCTTCAGAGTTTTCAGTGGAAATCTCCCATGTTTGAGATATGAGCCCTCTTTGAGTCTTTGCTGCTTTCAGTATTTTGACTTAGAATCTTTGATATACTAGTCTTCATGGAGAGTTTTTTGGATTGATTCATGTGTTATCTTCTGCATCATAATGGAATCTTTGTTGCTTTCAGAGTGTTGGTTAGGATTGAGTCTTCAATCTTCACAGATTCCAGTTTTCAGTAATGATTCTTCAGAATTTTCAGTGTTGTCTTTTGTCTTGAGTCATGTGCTTAAATAAGTCTTCAGAATAGTTTTCAAAATCTTGACTACAACTTATAGCATTCGAGTTTCCAGGATTTCAAGACTTGACTTCAGAATTTTCAAGAATAAATGATGTCATAATTCTTTGAAGTCTTTGTCGCTTACAGAATCTGTACTGTAGAATCCAAAGTATGCCAGTACTCAGAACTTTGACTCTTCGAGTTAGCAGGATTGAGTTATGATTCTCAAGAATCTTTAGACTTATCAGCTCATATTATGTCTTCCAGCTTCTGTTGTTTCAGAATTTTGTGTCGACTCTTCACAGGTTTCAAGAAACCCTTTTTGCATTGAGAATCTTGACTATAGAGTATTTTCGTCAGGATTTTGAGTTTTGACTTTCTTTCATTCAATTCAATGTTTCCAGGATTGAGTCCATAAATCTTTAGATACTTTGTTTAGAAATTTGAGTCCGGAATCCCTAGTATTACGTTATCAAGATCTTGATTCTTGAGAGAGTCAGTTTTACTCATAATAATGATTATACAAACATACTCTGGTATTTGAGTTTTCAGGGTTTTGGGTTTAACTTCCGAGGTTTCAGGATTGAGCCATGATTCTTCATTGTTATACCTCTAGAGTCATAAGATCGTTGTTTGGTTGCTTCTATGAATTCAAGTGTAGAATCCTTACAGTAGTTATTTGAGTCTTCACAATTTCAGAGTTTCCAGTATTAATAATTTCCAATGTCAAGTCTTGAAACATCAACCTTCCTAGAGTTGCTTTCAAAATTTTGACTCAGAATCTTTGATATTCGAGTCTTCAGGATTTTAAGTCTTCTCAGAGTTTTCCGGATAATTTAGTCTTCAATATTAACTTCTGTATCATGAGCCGATAATCGAATCCTTGTTGCTTCCAGATTTTTGACAGTATACTCCTTAAGATTGAGTCTTCAGTATTCACAGGTTTCACTTTTGAATACTGATTCTTCAGAAACTTCAAAATAAGTATTCAGAGACTTGGAATGCTTTCAGAATCTTGACTTACCTATAATTTATAGCATTCAGGTTCCCAGAATTTCAAGTCTTGATTTTTCAAAATTCTCGGGATTGAATGTTTCTTCTTTTAGTCATGATTCCATAATTCTTTGAAGTTTTTGTTGCTCTCAGAATCTTCACTGTAGAATCTTGAATTTTTCTATTCAGTCTCCGTTTCTTAGGATCTCCTTTGAATCATGACATTTAAGTCATGAGCTCATAAGTCTTTGGTCTTTGTTGTTTCCAGATACTTCTGGACTGTAAAGTGCTCAGAATTTTGTGTCTCGACTCTTCACAGGTTTCAGGATTGCTCATATAAGTCTCAAGAGTCCATTTTTGCTTTCAGAATCTTGATTGTGGAATCGTTAGTATTTATTTTTGACTGTTCGATGTTTCCAGTACGTATCGAATCATGGTTCTTTGAGATCTTGAGAGTTATCTGTCAGAATCTTGACTGTAGAGTATTCAGTATTCTCGTCGAGATATTGGGTTTTGACTTTCTAGAATTTTCAGGATTAATAATTCATTATTTTTCAAAGTTTTCATGAGCTCTCCTAGAGTCTTTGTTGCTTTCAGTATTTTGACTTAGAGTCTCCAGGATTTTGTGTCTTCTCAGAGTTTTCCGGAAATTGATTCATGATTCTTTAGTCTTCCAGTATTCGGTTGTGTATCACGAGCCCATAATAGAATCTTTGTTTCTTCCAGAATCTTGACAGTAAAGTCCCTAGGATTGGCTATTCAAGGATTTATAGGTTCTAGTTTTGAGTAATAATTCTTCAGAATCTTCAAAATAAGTATTCAGAGAGTCTTGAATCGCTTCCAGAATTTTGACTTAAGAATTTATAGCATTTGAATTCCTCATGATTCTTCAAAGTTGCAGTGAAAAGATAAAACGCTAATTTATACCTGCGTTATTTCGTTCTGGGCGGAGTTCCCGGAGAAGAAGTAAGAGAGACTTTTTATCCCTTGTATACAACGGGGATCAGCCGCCATATACAAGTTATCCGTAAAAAGGCTCAATCAAGAAGGGATAGAACAGAAATCAGTGTGTGGACGAACACACCTAGGAATGAAATTCTGTTGAAAATCTCCATCAGTGTTCGAGTCATGAGCCCTCCTACCATCTTTGTTGCTTTCAGTCTTCAGTGTCAACTTGTGTATCATAACTTTGTTTCTTCCAGAATCTTGACAGTAGAGTCTTTAGGATTGGCTCTTCCAGAATTTATAGGTTCCAGTCTTGATTGGGTGATATTTTTTCAAAATAAGTATTTAGAGTCTTGGATCGCTTTCAGAATCTTGACTTAAGAATTTATAGCATTTCAATTTCCAGGATTTCAAGTCTTTTGACTCATCAAAATTTTCGGGATTGAATGATGAATCCTTATAGTCTTCAGTGTTGATTTCTGAATCATGATCCCACAATTCTTTGAAGTCGTTGTTGCTCTCAGAATCGTTACTGTAGAATCCGTAGTATTGAGTCCTGAATTTCTGTATTGAGTCATGATTTTACAGAGTATTATAGAGTTTAGTCTGAAATCTTTAAGTATGTAGTACATATCGCGTTTCCAAGAACTTGACTCTTGAGCAAGTCACTTTCGCTCTTATCTATATAAATCAAAAACTGAATAAGAAAAATGTTGAAATACTAAAATTTCAATAATTAATCGTCCATATCCGAAATTTGCAGCAATTCCACAATTGAGTGTACTTATTTTCACTATCCATCTTAATGATTATTCTTTAGGTGTTGATGGTGAACCATGGGTATGGGTGATGGGCGAACACGAAAACGACAGAAGCATAGAAGACATTCTAAACGAAGAAGCTATAGAAGAAGCTCGAAAAATTGCAGAAAAAGAAACCGAACAAATGCGTAAACAAATGGAAGCTCAACTGTCCGAATACATAGATTTGAGTCCTAAAATCGAAGATTTATCCCCATCTAAGCTCGATTATGAGGATGATATTGATATTTATTGTTCAGTAGATGAACTTCGAGAGAAAATCAATAAGAAACCAGCCATACCTAAGAAACCCAGTTACCAACTGAACACTTATCCGAATAAAAATAAGCTCAACCTTGCGGATAGCAGAGAAGTGTTTCAAGAAATATCTATTAACACTCAAGTGGCGCAACGGGTAGCTTTATGGGAGAAAAAATTGACTGAAGAAAGAACAACCGAAATTTTTAAGCGTATAAGAATGAAACAGGAAGAAGCTGACAGAGAAGCTGAGGAAGAAGAAAAAAAGAAAGATCAGGTGTGGAGAGAACAAGGTAAGAACTATTTTATACCATTGAAACTTTAATATTTGAACTGATCTTGTTTAGAACGTAAAGCAAAAGAAGCCGAGCAACAAATACGCGAAATTGCTAGGAGGGCACGAGCAGAACACCGATTAACTTCAGATATGGATTTTGATACAAACTATGCTACAGTTAACTCAGGTGTACCACCTGGCCGACAGGCAGTACTTGATTGGTACAGACAAAAGGAGAAATGTAGATTGGCTGGGGTGGATATGGCAAATAATATTGAATCATGGTTTCATGGTGAGAATTTTGAATGTCAAATAGATTCTGGTTAAATTAAAGTGCAATAGACCTCGTAGTATAAGAACAATAAATCAAACAAGTTCATTGTTTTATATAATAATGGGAAACCTTGAATTTGAACTAACAATAGGCTAATTAATTATTATTTTTTAGGTCTTATAACTCGATCTCAAGCTGAAAAACTCCTGCTCGATCAACCCTATGGGACGTTTTTAGTGCGACTTTCGGAAAAAGTTTGGGGATATGCGATTTCATATAGGGCGCACGAAAAATGCAAGCATTATTTGGTTAATGCCTCGCAAAAATACAGTTTTTGTGGAAATAATCAATTGGAACATGATAGTTTAGGTAAGAATTGTTTATATTTATAGGTCAACAAGCAGTTATCTCATGAACTTCCTTTGCCTCATAGAAATTAAAATAAATTATCATAGACATAATAAAGCATTAATTTTAATTAGTTGTGTTGATAAGTGTATGGAAATCTAAATTTAATTGGAAAATAATAATTCAAATACAATATTTTATAATAAATCCTCAATAGGCATATAGGGTATAAAAAAATATTTTATTCTTGTAAAACAACAATTAATCTAATAGGTAATCGCTTTCTTTTTTTTTTTTCTTAATTGACGCCAAATTCGTGATTAACTCATATTACTTTTACTTGGCAATTTAAACATTAAAAACAATAAGCGAATAACGTCCCGATGATGGTAATCTATTGTTGTATAAAGTTTTTCGTAACACGCCAGGAAGTCTCACATGAACTAAAACGTCGAGAGGAAGTTCTTCATCGGACTAAATTTACATAAAAACTTTCCCCGTCGAGATCCATCAGCATTAAACGAAATCAGTGGGCTTGTATATTAGATGCATGTGCAAACCATGAAATACCTATTAGTGCAATTAAAAGAAATTTGTATTTTTTAAAATAATTTGTCCTTTCAACGGTTTTTGAATTTTAAAATTAAACTGGAAAAAATGGAGTTTCTCAAATTTGCCATATTAAGGTTTGAAACATTAAGATTCCTTATATTTATTGCTATTGATTCACATCTGCTACTTATGTAGCAGTAGTCACTCAGCATTTTTAGGATTAGGCCTTCGATATATCCAGAAAAACTGCACCCGTTTCCATTCTTCGATTTGCCCCTCTGAGGATTGTTGCTGTTAGTCTGGTCGCCTGGAGAATGGTAGAGTGAGCCTTCCTGAATCCCATCTGCTGGTTTGGCAAAATGTCTCGGTTTATGTTATCTTGAACTTCCTGCCTGATCAACCTTACTGCTACTTTCCCTAGTGCAGGGAGAAGACTGATGGGGCGGTAGCTTTTGGGATCTGTACTATATTCGCCGGCTTTCCTTATGAGTATAACATTCGCCTCCTTCCATTTGGATGGGAAATAAGCTAGTGAAAACATGGCTTGCACTATTTTCCGCGGGTCTTCAACTTGTTTCTCTGGTAGCTTTTTCAGAGCAGTCTTTGTTATGTTGTGTTTTCCGGGAGCTTTTCTATCTATCGAGAATGGAGTAGGCGTTTTCTTTTGTACTTCCTAGATCTTCGACGCCCAGTACTTAGTTGCTCTTTAACCTCGTTAATAGTTTTCGAACGTAGTAATTTTTTCAGAGTTGAGGGTTGACAGGTTGACAATGTTTTTCTTCAGTACTGTCATCTATTTATTCTCGAAGAGAAAATTGAAAAGTCCCTTTTCTTATGTGGCCGTAGCCCTGAGAGCTCGACTCTCAATTGTGGCTTCGGGGGCTAGTCATCTTCCGAAATAAATTACCGTTCTCGTGGAAAAAGTATCTTATTATACGAAATTACGTTGCCTAAGAAAATAGTATCTACATTGATTGCCGAGAAAATTTAACTAGAAAGTCTTGTGATAACCGGTTTATTCAAGCTTGAATTTTTAAACCCACGGTGGTAAGTTTCTTTAATTTTTTCTAAATGATGGTTGTTCATGGAATGGCTCTATTATCTAGGGTTTTTCCGTTTTATTAAAAACCAGCAACCCACACCTAATATTTTTTTTTGCTGAGCTAACTGAGCATATTATGGACCCATAGTTAATTCATTAACAGAAGGGGTTACATAAATTGGCGCCCACTATCAACCCACACCTAATTTTTTTTTTTGCTGGGCTAACTGAGCATATTATGAACCCATAGTTAATTCATTAACAGAAGGGGTTACATAAATTGGCGCCCAACGTGGGGCTTTGAAACATCTTAAATATTACCATCAAATATTGTACAGTTTGGTATTATTTTTTATCTTTTCTTTTTGCATAACTCAACTACTTGACTTCAGGTGTATCAGTATTACATGAATAAATTTAAATTATTCAATTTCTACAATAAAAATATCTTTTCCTATATCTTCAATAATTTACCGAACAAAATTCAATGGATACTTTCTTTAACAACATTTTAATTCTCGATATTTTGCCTGGAAATTTAAATTCGCATTTCTCTCGGCATTTCAATAATAATTCCGAATTTTAATTTTCTTTTAAAATAACAATAGGTAGCGGACAGTACTTTCTAGCGATCCCGGCGAAGAAGAGACTGTTCAGGAACACAGCGCTCCTACCTTCGCGAGCTCTTGATTTCTCTCATTTCCCATCCCACTCTACCCCATTTTCGTCCCTATTTCATAGTAAAGATCTCTCCTTCCTGCTAAATGATTTTAATACCTCAGTGTCATGACATGTATATTTTTTTTTTTGCTTTGCCTAATCATTTTATCTTTTGTTTTGATAATATACATCACCTTTGGCGCCCAACTAGGTGAGGTAAGTAGATATATATACTGCTTGACAAAATTATCGCACCACTACTGTACATAAACACCATAAGCAGTGGTGCGATAATTTTGTCCAGGAATATATAAAAAAAAAATGTTAAGGCAGAAAAGAAAAGTGTTGAAAGTCGTTGTCAAGTTTTTTTAGTCTGATATCTATCGTGTATCATCCGTCGATAAGAGAGTCATTTTTTGGTAATAGTCATAATTGAGAAAAAAAAAAAATTGAATTATAAGATCTTCTAAAAACTTGACAGAACTTTCAACGTTATTCACCAATATTTTGCCATCCAAAACACTTAGAAGAGAAACGGTACAAAACAACTACACAGGGAAAGACCCCATGCAGTGAATAGATAAAACGCCAATTTATACGTAAGTATTAAGTTCTGGGCGGAGTTCCCGGAGAGGAAGTAAGAGAGACCTTTCATCCCTTGCATACAACGGGGATCAGCCGCCATATACAAGTTATCCGTAAAAAGGTTCAATCAAGAAGGGATAGAAAAGAAATCAGTGTGCGGACAAACACACCTAGGAATGCGATTATCTCAAGAATGACCCTTTGCCATTGAAAGCCATTATTCCCAAAAAACCACCCGACTCTAACTCCTACTACCAAGCCTGTGTTAATAAGGTGGTATGTAGCAGCCTGTCCAATTGATTCCCCCAACGGACAAGATAAATCACTTAAACAGAAGTCGGCACAGCTCCTATAAAGGAAAACTTGACATAGCTTCATCCCGGAGCAAAGTGAGTAGTCAAATCGACAATCAAAATTCAAATGTTTGGTTGTTCTTCAGTAAAGGTCTTTACTGAAGAAAGGCAATCTAGCCCTCAACCACTCCTCAATACAAACATATTGTAACTTTAAGCAATATTGTATTAGGACACAATGGTAACATCCTCGATAACAGCAAAATAATGGCAAAGTAAGAAAGAGAGACATAGAGGTAGGTAAAGATAAGAAGTTAATAGAGGTACAGGGAATAATTCCGAACAAAATTCATGACGATAGTGGCTGGTGAAATCTGATTCTGAAACAAGAACACCGGCAAGGTATTAAGTAAATAGTATTATTAATGATAATCGATAATTAAAATGTATAATTTAAACGGTATGCGATAATTGAAATAAGTAATGGAGAAAATAAGATATGGCAACGTCAGCAAACTACCAGACAGAAATTTAACCCTAAGGTAAGGAAATAGATAGATAAGCTGAGTCGCAGAAACTAATTTAAATCGGTACGGTACTGTGAGGGTAACTAGAACTCACTCCAGAGATAGTAGATTGGACTCTGTTAGAGCCAAGGTAAGGTATTCGAAAAAAAAAAAACAGAAGATAATAAAGGTGAAGGTAAGAGATGAAACGATGACAGTGACATGGTATTAGACAAAATGTCCACATAAACCAAGATATAAAGATAACTTTTTGACAATATGTACAGGGTTATTGGTTATAAATGTCACCCCCCTCTATCTTTTTTATTCAACATTTTAGAAAAAAGTGTCCCAAATAAAAAATTTATGATTGAAATAATTTTTTTTGAAAAACTCACTTTTGCATTTACAGGGTGTTTCAAAAAACTTGGTCGTGCTCCAACTTTCTTATTTTAAACTAAATACTCTGTATATTATTCAATATTCGGATTCTACGTCAAATTCTGAGCAGATTTCATGTGATATACCCTATACCTAAGCTCAACTGTTTTTGAAATATTGACAGTTGAAAATTGACTTTTTTGCAAATTTGACAGGTTGTAAAACCTAAACGGTAAACTTCTGAGCAAAACCGATCTTACATTTTTTTCTAAGATTTTCACAAGTTATCATTTGACATCAACTTTGAATTTAACCGTAGATTAAATTTAATTGGAATTTTCAATCAGGGATTCAATTCAAAGTTGATGCCAAATATTGGTGTCAACTGATAGTTTATAAAAATCCAAGATAAAAAAGTGAGATCGGTTTTGCTCTAAAATTAACCTTTTAGGATTTACAGCCTGTCAAAGTTGCAAAAAGGTCAATTTTCAACTGTCAATATTTCCAAAACAGCTGAACTTAGGTATAGGGTATATTACATGAAATCTGCTCAGAATTTTACGTAGAACCCGAATATCCAATAATATACAGGGTATTATATATGAAATAAGAAATTTGGAGCACGACCAGCTTTTCTGAAATATCCTGTATATGCGAAAGTGAGTGTTTCAAAAAATTTAATTTCAATCATAGAACTTTTATTTGGGACACTTTTTTCTAAAATGTCAAATAAAAAAGATAGAGGGGGGTGACATTTATAACCAATAACCCTGTACATCATAAATAAGATAATAAAATCGATAAGACAACGGTAAGATATATGTCATGGCAATCCTAGGTATGACACACGAAAGATGTCCAAATTGACAACGGTACGGTAAATAATGATGTATTATACTTATTATCAAAACAAGAGATAACTTGGTTAAGCAAAGGACAAATTTTAAAATTTAAAAGAAAATTAAAATTCGGAATTATTAATGAAATGCCGAGAGAAATGCGAAATTAAATTTTCAGGGAAAATATCGAGAATTAAAAGTTAAAGAAAGTATCCATTGAATTTTGAAGATATAGGAAAAGATATTATTATTCTAGAAATTGGATAATTTAGATTTATTCATGTAATACTGGTACACCTAAAGTCAAGCAGTTGAGTTATGCCCCTTACGTTGGGCGCCAATTTATGTAACCCCTTTTGTTAACGAATTAACTATGGGTCCATAATATGCTCGGTTTCCTCAGCAAAAAAAAATATAAGGTGTGGGTTGATAGTTTTTAATAAGTACAGTATGGCGAGGGCGCAACTGAAATAATTTTTTTAAAATAAAATTGCATAAAATATGGAAGTGTGAAAATTCAGAAACACACCTAGAAAATAATTAGAAAACGGTAATTGGTAATCCTGAAAAAGAAATAAATAATGCACACAACTCAACAAACCTTGACCTAGGTAAACCAATAAAACAATTAAGTAAGTTTCAAATTAAAATAGTATATTTCACAGTGAGGTTGAAAATCAAAAACCAACCAATTTCAAAGTAGTACACAATTACTGATAAAAGAATTTAAATAAAATCAACTAATAGAGGTCAACTTTCAATCTGCAGTTTTACCAAATTCAAAAATAAAAAAATAATAATAATAAAATATAAGTCAATATACCTAGTATAGCATGTACCATATAAGTTCAACAAAAAAAAAAAAATCGATAAAATCAATTTTTACCTGAAAGAAATCAAAAGTTGGGCTGGCTATATAACGGTTGAATGGTCTGGAGATCCAATAGAAATCCGTAAATAGGTATACAAGTCGTAGGACCCAGGGTTAAAAATTGATCAATTTTTGACGTTATAGGTACTTACACAATAATTTCAAATTAAGAACACTGCCAACCTGCCGACCCTCAACTATGTAAAAATTACTACGTTCGAAAACTATTAACGAGGTTCAAGAGCAACTAAGTACTGGGCTTCGAATAGCACTTCACTAGGTCTGTTTCTGCAGAAATCACAAACCAGTCCCAGCGAATTTCATTGGTTGAAAACAGTCAGAAAACTAGTTTCAACCAATGAAATTCGCTCTGATTGGTTTGTAATTTCTGCAGAAACAGACCTACTAATGTGAGAAAAACTGTCAATTGATATAGCCAAATTATGTCCTGGAATCTGGATACCAGGATTTAAGGCTCCAGGCACCGATGACATTTATCCAATTAGTCTGAAACATTGTTGTGCTTCAATGGTCCAAGCACTTCGTGATCTTTTCCAGAGCTGTATGGATTCTGGCTGTTTTCCCTCATCATGGAAACAGTCAACAATCTTTCCGATTTCCAATTCTGGAGCCAGAAAATCATATTGTTCATAGGTAGCGCCACTTCAAGGAATCTTGGCAAATATCAGCAATTTCTAACATTGGAATCAATGGATTAGAACTTTTGTCGAGTTGATTCGGAGAAAATTATGGGTACCTACTTCAGGAGTAGCCCCAGGGCTTTCATCTCAGTCCAATACTGTTTATCAACGATGTTAAGATTATCAAAATGTCTCTTCTACGCAGATGACCTCAATATATGTATAAATACTTTAGATACTATTTGGAATTCAATTATTATTCTATAACCTATATTTGAAACAAGTAAACTCAAACTTATGCAAACCTTTAATAAAATGCAGGAATGCAATACACATCCTTGTAACGTAATTACGTTCCATTCAATGCGCATTTGATTTCAACGATTAATGTAATGCAAATTGTTTTACAGGTGATCTCGTGAAATACCACTTTACACAACCCTTGACCGGTGGCGAAAAACTGTTGCAACCATGTCCAAGAGTGGACTCGTCGGCTATAGAAGAACTATTTGGAGCCTAGAACTGATGTTTTGTATGAGGATTCTGTGATCGTTTTCGGCATTTTTATATAGAAATCCGACTTTATCAATATTATGCGTTTATAGGCTTATATTAAGTGTTGTACTAATAACATAACTCGATATTTTTTTTGACTTATTAGATATTATTTTATATAACAATTATAGGTTTGTTCATCAATAATTGATGTTCTAGAAAATGAAGGACAATTATCGATAAACTGTTTACAGTTAATTGTGATTTTTTTTCTAATAATTATTATATTCATTATATGTATCTCCTGCCCTTATTTAGTTATATATATTTTTATATGGTAGTAATCGTATTAGATTTCTCAGTGTGCCTTTGCGAATTATGTTATTTTATTATTATTAACTTCATTTTGTATTAAATAAAAATGATTTTCCTAAACAATTAAATAAAAATTCTATCATGCCTTTATTTACAAATTACAATTAATAGGGGAAATGTAAATTAATACAAGTAAAAATTTATTTGTAAACAAATTTCGACTTTTCCTTAACAGGCATTGGTAAGCTTATGTCCAGGATATGGCGTTTTCTTTTAGCTTTTCTATACCTGTAAGCCTATAATAAAATAACAGTTTTAATATTTACAATATTAATTTACTAGGTCTGTGCTTTATTAGTTATGTAATGTTGGCGTTTTTAGTGGAAGGCGATGTTTGTGAAGTTGCTGAAGGTATTCTCTGAAAAAATGAAAAAAATAAAGCACAACTCTAAAATGATTACCTAAACTAATTGAATTTAAAATACACTCACTGGTGATACTTCTGCTGGATCAGGAAGCTCTAGTTCTGGAATGCTATTCTTTTTTTTAGTTTTATTTGGAGAAATTGCAGCTAAAATTAACAATAATAGGTTTGTTCTAGCAAAAATCCCAGTTGGTGCTTACCTCCAGGCAAATTTGGCAAAGAAAAATCATCATTCCTGCTTCTATTAAGAGGTTCTCGTTTTCTCAACGTCATATTTGAATTATTATTAAAACTGTTCAACCAATGAGGTGTATGTATCCCAATATTATTTGCATGATCTCCTTGAGCAAAAATATTTTCAACATTTCTGTCCAACTTCTTCAAGTAGTGATTTCGTGAATTTGAAATGTTAGGCACCTAAAATAACAGTTCTTAAATTGTTGGTTTTTGAAATAATTGAGTAACTTACCTGGTTTGATTTTTGATTAGTTTGTAAAATATTTGGTGATCTTTTTGGTTGCTCTCGATTGAAGCTTATATTATTTATACTTGGATGAAGAATGCTATGGAAATTTGGTGATTTACTACTAGAATGGTCTCCAAGACCAAAATGGAATGTGTTGTAAGTAGGCGATTCAGCCGATAAACGAGTATTATGATCAGATATTGGTCTATTTTCATCGTATTTGTTAATCTTCACTAAATTTTCCAATGATTTTTCCAACATTTGAATTTCGCTTGTGGGAAGCTTGAATTTCGAGTGCGACTTAGTTTGAACCAGGCTGGGCTTTGATAACACTTGTTTCGAGTTGTTGTTATTTAAAATATTCAAGCGCTGGCTAGTTTTGGATAGAGTTATGAGGTTTTTTTCAACAATAGTTTGTTCTGTAGCATCTGCGGTGTACTTTCGTTTCATGGTACCTAATAACAAGAAAACTATAAGTTTTGTATTTACGGATTAATGCAACAAAAAGGTAAAAAAGATCCCATTTAGACAATATTTTTATTGAATATTTATGGTATTCAATCCCTTATTTGCACCATACTAGTTTTAGGCTGCTGGACTGAGAAAATTTGAAACTTTACTGTAGGTTCCAGGATCATTCGTTGCACCCTCTCAAGATGTTTATAGTTGAAACTTCTAGAATATCTTTATAGAATCATTCTTTTTACCTTTTGCAGTAGTAGATATTCACAAATATTATACATTATTTTCTTACCTACTTCATACCGGAATCATTCTCACTTGCTCGATACGAGACCAAAAACAAGCCCTGCAGAGGGAGAACGGTTCAAAAAATCTTCTAGAAGTTTCTAAACTAAAGATTCTGAGAGGGATCCTGACCTGAGAGTTAAACTAAAATTTCACATGTCTTCTCCATTAGCACAAAAATTGAAACTATTCTGTTGCAGAAGGCTTGAATACCTAGAAGAAGATCGATTTAAAGAAGATATCTGCAAGCTAAACACTAAATATTTTGGGAATGCAAATTTGTAAGAAACAAAAACACAGAGGGTTCGAATAAAAGAAGAAGGATCCACAGAGATATTTCAATAGTGTAAACTGAATACCTATCTTGACAGAATCAGGGTTGGCATATACAAAAACTCATTTAGGAATTTGTATTGATAAGCTAGTAAATGAATAATATTATTGGAACTAAATTAAAATCTTAATTGATAGGTTTGTAGAAAATTTAACTGGCTTCAATTAGAGCCTAGTTGCGTTGAAATCGGATGGAAATTAAAGGAGTTGTGAGCCAAAAACTGTCTCAGTGTAATTTTTGGAAAATATGCAATGTTTGATAAAGTCAATTTTGAAGGTTCTCAGGTGCAAAACTGTTGGAACCAAATTGAAATCTTAACCAATAGGTTTGTAGAGAACTTAATTGGCTTTAATTGTAGGCTAATTTCGTTAAAATCGGATAGAAATTAAAGGAACTGTGAGCCAAAAACTGTCTCAGTTTCATTTTTGGAAAATATTCAATGTTTGATAAATTCAATTTTGAAGGGTCTCAGGTGCAAAACTGTTGGAGCCAAATTAAAATCTTAACCAATAGGTTTGTAGAGAATTTAATTTGCTTCAGTTGTAGGCTAATTTCGTTAAAATCGGATAGAAATTAAAGGAACTGTGAGCCAAAAACTGTCTCAGTTTCATTTTTAGAAAATATTCAATTTTTGATAAATTCAATTTTGAAGGTTCTCAGGTGCAAAAATGTTGGAGCCAAATCAAAATCTCAACTAATAGGTTTGTAGAGAATTCAACTAGAGCCTAATTACGGTAAAATCGGATGAAAATTAAAGGAGCTCCGAACTAAAAACTGTCTCGGTGTCATTTTTGGAAAATATTCAATATTTGATAAATTCAAGTTTGAAGGTTCTCAGGTGCAAAACTGTTGAAACCAAATTCAAATCTCAACTAATTGGTTTGTAGAGAATTTAACTAACGCCTAATTGCGTTGAAATCGGATGAAAATTAAAGGAGCTGTGAGCCAAAAACTGTCTCAGTGTCATTTTTGGAAAATATTCAATGTTTGACAAATTCAAGTCTGAAGCTTCTCAGGTGCAAAACTGTTGGAACCAAATAAAAATCTCAACTAGGTTTGTAGAGAATTTAACTAGCTTCAATTAGAGCTCAATTGCGTTGAAATCGGATGAAAATTAAAGGAGCTGTGAGCCAAAAACTGTCTCAGTGTCATTTTTGAAAAGTATTCAATGTTTGATAAATTCAAGTCTGAAGGTTCTCAGGTGCAAAACTGTTGGAACTAAATTGAAATAATCTCAACTAGGTTTGTAGAGAATTTCACTGACTTCAATTAAAGACTAATTGCGTTAAAATCGGATGAAAATTAAAGGAGCTGTGAGCCAAAAACTGTCTCAGTGTCATTTTTGAAAAGTATTCAATGTTTGATAAATTCAAGTCTGAAGGTTATCAGGTGCAAAACTGTTGGAACTAAATTGAAATCTCAACTAGGTTTGTAGAGAATTTAACGGGCTTCAATTAGAGCCTAATTGCGTTGAAATCAGATGAAAATTAAAGGAGCTGTGAGCCAAAAACTGTCTCAGTGTCATTTTTGGAAAATATTCAATGTTTGATAAATTCAAGTCTGAAGGTTCTCAGGTGCAAAACTGTTGCAATTAAATTGAAATCTTAACTAATAAGTTTGTAGAGAATTTAACTGGCTTTAATTAAAGACTAATTGCGTTGAAATCGGATGAAAATAAGAGAAGCTGTGAGCCAAAAACTGTCTCAGTGTCACTTTTGGAAAATATTCAATCTTTGATAAATCCAAATGCCAAGGTTCTCAGGTGCAAAACTGTTGGAACCAAATCTTAACTAAATTTGTAGAGAATTTAACTGGCTTCAATTAGAGCCTAATTGCGTTGAAATTTAATGAAAGTTAAAGGAGCTGTGAGCGTCTCAGTGTCATTTTTGAAAAATATTCAATGTTTGATAAACTCAAATTTCAAAGTTCTCAGGTGCAAAACTGTTGAAACCAAATAAACATTTTAAATAGGTTTGTAGAGAATTTAACTGGCTTCAATTAGAGCCTAATTGCGTTGAAATCAGATGAGAATTAAAGGAGCTGTGAGCCAAAAACTATCTCAGTATCATTTTTGGATAATATTCAATGTTTGATAAACTCAAATTTCAAAGTTCTCAGGTGAAAAACTGTTGAAACCAAATAAACATTTTAAATAGGTTTGTAGAGAATTTAACTGGCTTCAATTAGAGCCTAATTGCGTTAAAATTGGATGAAAATTAAACGAGCTGTGAGCCAAAAACTGTCTCAGTGTCATTTTTGGAAAATATTCAATGTTTGATAAATTCAAGTTTCAAGGTTCTCAGGTGTAAAACTGTTGGAACCAAATTGAAATCTTAACTAATAAGTTTTTAGAGAATTTAACTGGCTTTGATTGAAGATTAATTCCGTTGAAATCGGATGAAAATTAGAGGAGCTGTGAGTCAAAAACTGTCTCAGTGTAATTTTTGGAAAATATTCAATGTTTGATAAATTCAAATCTGAAGGTTCTCAGGTGCAAAACTGTTGGAACCAAATTGAAATCTAAACTAGATTTGTAGAGAATTTAACTGGCTTCAATTGGAGACTAATTGCGTTGAAATCGGATGAAAATTAGAGGAGCTGTGAGCCAAAAACTGTATCAGTGTCATTTTTGGAAAATATTCAATGTTTGATAAATTCAAGTTTCAAGGTTCTCAGGTGCAAAACTGTTGGAACCAAATTAAAATCTTAACTAGGTTTGTAGAGAATTTAACTGGCTTTAATTAAAGCCTAATTGTGTTGAAATCGAATGGAAATTAAAGGAGCTGTGAGCTAAAAACTGTATCAATGTCATTTTTGGAAAATATTCAATGTTTAATAAATTCAATTTTTAAGCTTCTCAGGTGTAAAACTGTTAAAACCAAATTGAAATCCAAATATAGAGAATTTAATTGGCTTTAATTCGAGTTTAGTTACGTTGAAATCTGAGAAAAATTAAAGGAGCTGTGAGCCAAAAACCGTCTCAGTGTCATTTTCAGAAAATATCTAATGCTTGATAAATTGAATTTAAAAGCTTCTCACATGCAAAACTGTTGAAACAAATATTCACTTTTGTCTAGCTGAGTGAACACAATCACCCGCAAAAACCCGATCAATACAAGAATTGAGAATATAGTGCTACAAAGGGTTATTCAGATTGTAAAATTGGGGCCCTGGTGGAAAACTCTGATGGATAGATAAGTAAGCTTACTTTGACAAACACTTTTTTCTTTACCTATATCGTGGCAGTGGTTCATAATTAAAATCTTATCAAGTGATTTTGATCCATTACCTTCTGTTAAGCTAAATCTCCAGTTCGACTCTTGAGGCATCTTCCTAATCTTAGATTCATCTCTCCTATCAGTAGAAATAAGAATTTCCCCCTTCATCTTCCTCAACAAAGGCGTATTAAACTCAATATTAACTTTATCCCTTAGAGCAGGCAAAAATCTATTAGGAAACTTATCGTGGGTGAAAAACGCATGCTTCAACAATTCCTCAGCAGAAAGCCTTTCGTGAGGATCCATTCTCGTACAGCTATGCAGAAAATCTATGGCTATCAAAGGCCACGTGGGGAAAACTTTGTAAAATCCCAAAGTGTCTTGCGAAGGCGTCTTAATCATAGGCCTTAGCTGTGTATTTTTGGCCATCAAATGCTGGTGTCTTATACACGGTTTACCCAACATTCTGACAATCAAATACAGTTGATCGATGTCACTTTCTCCGGGAAACAATGGGTCTCCAGTAATCATTTCGGCAAATAGACAACCGATGGCCCATATGTCGACTGACGCACCATAAACTGGTTCGCCTACTAATAATTCAGGTGCCCTATACCATCTACAAAGAATTTGTTTGAAGTATTTTATGAAAAATAGTATTGAAAGTTACCTTGTGGCTACATATTCAGTGCAAGGTTCACCATTTGAACTTACTAGTCTTGAAAATCCAAAATCGCACAATTTGACTACGCCTAAGGATGATACCAGAATGTTTTCTGGCTTGACATCTCTATGCATAATCTATTTTTTGAAAAAAAAAATAAGATAATAATAGATATCATTGTATATTATATTATGTACTTACATTATTGCTATGACAATAATTGATAGCCCGACAAACTTGATAAATCCTCTCCCTGGTCCTTTCTTCCCCCAATCCTCCTGGCATTTTTTCTAATTCGTCCAAAACGGTGCCAGCCAAAAACTCGAAAACTATGTAAAATCGTTTTCTGAAGCGAAACACTTCGATCATAGTAACTAAGTTTTCGTGCTTCAGTCTCTAAAATATTAATCGTTTAATTTAAAAAAAAATTTTTTTCCTAAAGTCATTACTTTTAACATTCTTATTTCTCTAAGGGCTAATTTGCGAATCGTCGCATCCTCTTCGGTTTCAAGAAACTTCTTGACCGCCACAATCTGATCGGTTTCCTTGTGTCTGCATTTCATTACCAGACCATAAGAACCTTCTCCGACCACAGCAATTTGTTCGTACTTTTCCATACTAATGAACTCTATTAACTGTCATCTGGAACAAAAATTACCATTTTGATAATCAAGTTATCAGCTTCTCAAAAGAACAAATAATAGAAAGGAGCTTATAGTTTTCTTTGTGACTCTTGGCTGAAAAGAATCAGTTTTCTTTATTTGAAATAAAATACCTATTATACCTACGGTTTTGTCATTACATAGTTATTTGCGTGATTTGGCTTGCGAACAAAATTTCATATACCTACCCACTAACCAATTTTTCAAAAGATGCTAATCCATCTTTTTGGCTTTATGTGAACTTTACTTTTTCTATTTTTAAACCATCAAATTGTGCATGTAAACTTCAGGGGCAATTATTAATAATAATAATAATAGAGTCCTACTCTACAGGAAATATAAAAATTCAACTCGGGGCATATAATTTTATTTTGCAATGGCATGTCTTGTAGCCTTTTACATTGTCCTTATTCCCTAAATGAAATGAATAAAATCAATAAGACATGAAATTATTTGAAATTTCACATCCGGGTAATGCATTTTAATTGTTTTCCTGCAGGGTTTGTTGACTTAACTCCCTTGACAGTGAAATTATAGTTTCATAACTTGAATGGCGTGCAAGTGTTTTGTAACTAATAGGGTGAAGGTTGTTGGCAATAAAGGAAAATGTTTGCAATTTTAACGTAGGTACATATATGATACCATTTTTAGGAAAAAATGTGCTACTAACTGAGACAATTTGCATTTACTTGATAAACTACTTTCCTTTAAGTAAAACTTAAAAAATTCAAATTGCATTCAATTATTCCTTATAGCTACTTTGTAATAACCTATAATTTAACCTTTACATCATGTAATGTTTTGCTTGTCAAAGTCCTGCGTCGATTTAGTTTATAAATAATTCCCCCATTATCCCTCTTTAAAAGGGTCGACAACCCTTAACAAATTCGATGCATGGAAAACTTCGCAGACGACCGATAAGACTGCCCAATGGCCGTAAAATGCCTACTGTGGCTAGTTTATGATTTGCTACAGGAAATCACGCGAGCAGTATTTGATAAATTATGACCGCCGTTGCATAATCCAGGATTCTACTGATTTGAGCATAGTAGTTTTTCTATGTGATCGATATTTTTCTGTACGTGTGCACGAAAGGTCTTTTACCAATATAAATTGGGTATTGTGGAACCGTATATTTATTTTGGCTAGTTGACGTGTGTACAACATGAAATACGGTTTTGGGAAATTAGTCATTCGACAATTCAATTGATGGGCAAATAAATTAGTTCAAAATACCAGGCATTATATTGACAAATCAATTTCATGTTAGGAATCCAAAGGTTGTTGGAAAGTCAGCTTTTCCACAGCTCTATAGCAAGAAAGAGATTTTTCGATTTTTCTAAAACTCTTTATCGCAGCCATCTGGATCAACAGTCGTATCCCACCAATCTTCTTGTTTCGACTAAGTACGTGTCATCATTTGAACTCGTAAATAAAAGCCCGGAAGGTTAAGCACCTAAGTAAATTGGACCCAAAATGACAAAAAATTCGAACAGACTGCATCATCCTCTAAATGATGAAATTAATTTTTGAAATAATATCTAGGTCGTCCAATAGAATTGATTTATAGATGATCAAACGACCGCCCATTGTCGATTTTGGTGGATAATTGATAATATTTTGGGGGGAATCGAAAAATATAAATACAGCGGATTTAGAAGTTTAAGATCAGTTGGCAGTTCAGTCCAGTTTGAGTCAAAGTCTACAGTACCTAATGAGTCAGTCCGGTTAAAATACGCGAAGAGTTTATTTTATTTTCTTGCCTCGGGAAAACGCGTTCAAACGAATCTTTGAAAAGTAACGGAAAAATTTGTGAATGAAAGAACATTTAAATGCGTTCAACATTATGTGCGAGCTCTAGAGATTTTTGAAGTAAATTAATTAAGTATTTTAACGGGCGAAAATTTAAATGTAAGTACTCTAGTGACTAGTATTGTTTTTTCAGACTTATATCAATGATGGGAATGATAAGAAGTGAATTGACATTGAACTTTAATGCATAAAAACTTGAGTGATTTGACTGTAAAAACTTTATTGCATAACTTTAATTGCCTTCGAGTATAATGACATTTTAATTAATTTCGCAAATTAATAAAGGAAAATTATAATGCTCTTAACAATATTCGATTTCGAGTAGGGATTATTAAAGAATGTTGAATTGGATTGTCCAATTGAAGTTTAAGGGCTATAGTAACGAACTAATAAGAATTTAAATAATTGTGTTTGTTGGCTAGGAATCCGAAAATAGTAATTGTTCTGTTCAAAATGATCCTTAGTGAAGGATGGGAACCACTAAAAGTAAAAGAATAAATCATTAAAAGCATGGGAAGATTTTGTTTGAAAATTGTTGTTCATAAAGTACCATTGATTACCTTAAGTGCTGAAATTTTGAATTAGGGTTTTTTAATTTAGAAATTATTGTAGGGTTTTTATAAAAATATAGTTGATAATACATATTATGTACTTAATTCAGTGAGTAGGATTTTGACTTAAATAATTATTTTGCATAAGCTGTCAGTAAATGACTTAGGAGTTTTAAGAATTTATAGATATAGGTGAAGGGTAGTTTTAATAGGAATGTGAATCGGAAGTGTTGTTTGAAAGAGTAATGTATAAACTTATAAGTTATTAAGAATAGAAGAAGTAGGGCGTTTTTTTTTGTATGGATATTTCCCGGTCCGTAGTAATGAAATTTGAACGGATGTGAAATAAATTGATTTGGGAAAAATAGAAGTGGCTCTCAGACATAGAAAGATATTTGCTTATTTTAATTGTGGTTTTAAGTATAAAAAAATATAATTTAGTAAACCTCAATAGTTTGTTTCTCTCTTTTACGAATAGACCCCCTCCACAATTTTATAGGTAGCCGCTCAAGGAAAGAAACACCATCAATATACCGCTCGCCATTTACCATCTAACTAATTAGAGTACTTGAGCGCGTTTTGCTACAGTATGTAGGTACAGTTTTTCAATAACCATACAGTTTTGTATATTTTCGTATGGTTCTCCATTTGGTCGTAGGTCGATCGAGTGTACGCCACTGGTATTTTCCTGTTTCCGACTATTCCCTCAACCTTTCCATGTTAGTATGAATTCAATCATATGTAAATACAGTTTTAACATATACGACACCTTTAAAACGCCTCAAAGACGTAAGCAAGACTTCTTGGATGTCGTTTGTAAACATCTTAGGGACTCTTTAAGATGTCTACAAAATTTCCCACAGAATTAGTTTCTCACGCAATTTAATCCAAAACAGTTCAAATCCAAATCAAAATTTCCAGGAGCATTATGGAACAATTTAGAAATTTAAGAGTTATTTTAGAGAAATTAGGATTCAATTTGAGACTGAAAACCTTCTAGAAATCTTTTGAACCAATTAAAAACACTTTGGAGTTTCAATAGGGCTCTAAAATACCTAAAAATCTGTCAGAATAATTAAGAAATTGCTGAAAAACTTCTAAAATGCTCCAGAACTCTTCAAGCCAAATTCCTGGTAGGGAACCAGGCCGGGGCGCGACTGACTGTTACTGGAACAAAAACAAAGAAGGGGAAAACCCCAACCGAAACAGTTGGAAAGAAAAGAGTAGAAAGAAGAAAATTTGGTATAGTTGATCTCACATAGGATGACGACAGAAGGGCATCAGTAGAGACGATCATGACAGAAGTTGAGAAATACAGACGGTTTTCTATCTGCCTAGACGAAACAAATAAGAGGAAACGGAAAAATATCTCCGAAAATAATGAAGGAAAGATCTATAACAAAATAGAAAGCCCGGTAGTCTTTGTACTAAAACAAGCACTTGAAGCCATCACAAGATTGAACGCAGAGCTCACCAAAAGGATAGAACAAAACACAAAAAGAGAAATCAAAGATATAGCGGAAAGACTGCAGAAACAGGTTGAGACTATAAATCGAACAGAGTGATAAGCGGCTGGAAAGACCAGCACAAAATATGAAAAAACAGAAAAAATGTGGTTTGAAGCGGAAAGAAGAAATACCCAGAGACGCCTCTCACACATGCTCAAACCCACAAAACCCGCGGAAATCCAGAACGAACAAACAGCTACTTTGCTAAGACCTCTAATGAAAGATGCATCATCGTAGACTGACAATGCCTCAAGCCCCAGAGAACAAGAATTAAACAATCTTAATGAAATATGATCAGTGGAAGACTTCGAAAACGTAGATGGAGCAAGGAAGTATATCAAAAACAGAAAATAAAGGTAGGAATCTCGCGGGACACAAAATCCTGCGTGGTAAAAGTAGTGCTAGTAAAACCAACAGACGTACAACTAACTCCTCGTCAGAAGGAAATACCCAAAAATCCTGGAAATCAGAGAGGACTTTGGCGTACTGGAACAAACAATAAAAATAAGAGGATCCGAAAAGGCAAGCGGACAAAAGATAATCAAAATCCTACAGAACATCTCTGACGAGAAACTATGGAAAACCTTGGTACAACTTCGGAAAGAAACAAGGAATGATAACTGGGTGGCTTTCCACCACGTTAAACGTATCAGTCTTGATAAATTAAGGAAAATTACAGAAGTAATCTTCCAAGAAACAAATCCAAACGTTGTCATATACACAACAATGACCAACCAGATGGCACAACGGAAAAAACAAATAAAAATGACAGAAAACCTAAAAAGGGAAATACCGACTATGCCTTAATAGTAGATCAAAATTGAATGAGATAAAAATTTTAAAAAATAAGTCTCTAGATTTTCCCCAAATAGACAAATTTTCCTTTTTAGTCAAGGTACCTACTATAGGTACTACAAGATAAAGCTGAGGATGAAATTAATTAAATCCCGGAATTCTCAAAACTCTTGAGATGTTTTAATTAAAACATTGTTTAAATGAATTTTTGACCTATCCGGATTTCTATTTTAAATTTTCAGCCTTCCAGCGCTCTTCCTACTCCATATGATAATTAAAGGAGTCAAAC